CCTGGAGGTGGAGCCCAACATTCAAATACAAATATAAAGCCATCGTATATAAGTTAGTCACTACCCAGACTCAGCTAAGCTAACCCCCCCACCCATATAAATGTTTACACACAGACACCAAGATGTCCCCCTCCTGGACGGCCATTGCATCGTCCAGAGCTGTGGAAGTCACAGGTAGAGCCACGTATTAATGTTTTTTTTAATGTTAGCACTTTAACATTTTTGATACTTTTGGATGTTTTACCCTGGAAGGTTTCTGCACTGTCTGACTCGATCACCGTGGAAACATTCTGTCCTGATGAAGGGAAAACAACATGTATCACCAACACGTGGTTAGTTGTTAGACCAGTGGTTCCCAAAGTCAGGGGCATGTCCCTTCAGGGTGCACAGGGCTAATGCAGGGAGCTGAAACAAGGGGCTCAACAATACTCACCTGGAGGTCATTGTGAGATTATATTAGAGTTTCTTTAATATAAATGACAAATGAAATGGGTGAAAAAAAAACACCTCTGTGTATCAAGAAAGCCTTAACTTTATCAGAGAGAACCAGTGTCAGACTTTTCTTACTTCATTTTCATTTATTATAAACCAACCTTCTGCAGGACATGTTGCATTGTGGGTGATTCATTCAGTATTTTACATTTTTGTACCAACGATGTTTGCACGTGTGTATTGATCACCTGCTGGTGCTTCTATGGTGGTGTGGTCCATATCAGTGGTGTTACCTACCAAAAAAGAGAAAAATAAACTTGATAACTCTTAATGTGACAAAAATGTATTTGAATCAATATATTTAAAAAAGCAGTCACCACCTGGAGCAGCATTCTGGGTCTGATTGATGGGAACAGCTTGAACTACATGGAAACAATGTTGGATTAATATCTTGTTGTTTTGTTTTGTTTTTTAACATCATTGAGTTTTTCTGAAGTTTTATCTTGTTACCTGTGGACAAACAGATGACGATGACGATGAGCAGCCACATGGTTGAAGAAGAGAGAAGCTGACGTTGGATTCACTGTGGTCTTCAGACACATCGAGTTTCCACCAGCTGAGTGAACAGGTGAGGTGACTTCATTCTGATTATTATATAGGGCCAGCCTCCACCTGAACAGCAGGGGGCGGTAGTGCATGTTTATCAGGTCAAATTATCTCATCATTTCCTACGCCAATCGTCTTCCTCTTATCTTTTCTTTCTTCTCTTTTTTATTTTATTGTATTTCTTTACCCTTTTTGCTGACTTCTTTCCCTTTGTTTCCTTTCCTTCTTTTCACGTCCTTTCCTTAATCGTGTCATCCCCCTTCATTCCATGTACATCTCGTTTACATTTCAGCATTTCACCCTCTTTTTCCTCTCTTTCTGTCAGTTTATCTTGTTGAACAGGAATTATGACTACTGTGTTTACCTTTTTGGATGTGTGTACATTTAGCTAAGCCTTTTTTCCCCCTCAGTGTAGATTTAATGACATTAACGTAACATAATGTTATTCATCTTTGATACAAATGATTTCCTTGCATGTAGGTCTTTTTTTTAAAAGTCACAGCCAATGAACGACGCAATTAACCGTTGACATAACTGTTTTGGATGCGCCTGGATGTCAATTGTTTCCCACGGTTCTTGAAAGCAGCATTTGTTACGCTACAGATCGTACTTTACGTTAGTCGGTTTAATAAACAATACTCATATAATCAAAAAAACATCGCATCTTGTTTCAGATCAGGCTTCCGCCGAAAACGTAACTATAACTGTGACGTATGCTCCTGACAACAGTGTCTGGTGTTTTTCTTTTATCAGTAAAGTTAGAGATTTCCCTGTAACAGCGAACGCCTCATCATTCATCGTCATGTGATGTCCTGTCATGTGGTACAGCCACTTCCTATTGATTCAGCTCGGTGCTGACACACTCCGCTGTATCATGTCGTCTTAATTCGGGTCGTTTAGAGAAAATTTCTTTTATTTATTTCCATTCCGAGCAGCTAACGTGATGTTTCGGTGTACGTATAACCGCCGCGGGCCTATAGAGCCGAGGCTGTGGATAATGGCGTGTATGGGATGTTTACTGGTCCGGACCGGAGCTCAAGAGGCGGGCACCAGCGGTGTTTGGTACCAGGATCTCTGCAGGTACACGAACGGAACACGATGCTGCGACAGAACAAAACAGTTTACGTTAATCGTTATGTTTTGTCTACCAACAAGACACTCGTTATCAAAGCACCTAATTTTACATCCTTGTTGTCGTACTAGTGATATTCCGCAGGCCTTAAATAATCGGTGTAGCTAATATTATCATCACAACCAATCGGCCCAAACCATAATGTTATTTTTTTTTTGTAATTGAAAACGCAAAAAATGAATTTAGTTTCGAGTCCAATCAATCTAAAATGTCTGTTAGAGATTCTTGCGTCAGATTACATTTCCTTGTTACAGTCGTACAAAGCACAGGCCTTGACTTAACAACATTCACTTTAGACGTTATGGTCTTGCACGATTCATCGGCTCCGATATTTATTTAGAAATGTTTCTATTTACGTTAATGACAACCCTTAAGCTAACCTCGATATCAGTCGGATGTCATTCAAACATCAACAGCAAATATGGGGCAGGAACTCAGGTTTTGTTCTGCACCTTTTCCCGTCTTTTGCTTCATTAATCATCAAACTAAACGTTCGTACATTTTCTTTACACTTTCTTTTGATTTTATTTATATTTGCAACAGTTGTTTCGTCGCCGTTCAATGTGAAACAAGTAAAGTAGTGTGTTAGCTTGAGGCTAATAAGCCAAGACGTCATAATTCCGTTTTGCAGTTGACTCGAATAACTGTCTTAGATTATGTGCTAAAAGATGAATATTCCCTAATGTTTAAAAGCGCAATGTTGCAGACTGTGACATGTACATCCTGTGACATGTACATCCTGCAGTTCCAACTATTTTTAGCATTTCTTACTGAGTGCCTTTTTTTTTTTTGCATATTCTTCAAGTCTGTTTTCACATGTACTTTCACTAGACAGTCAGGTACACGCAGGTGTGTACTGATGTACACTATTATACTCCCTTCCAGTGTCCTGTTTTGGCAGCTGCTGTTCAAATATTGACCTTGCGGTCTGATAAAACCGTTGTATGTAAACAACTTCTGTACAACAAAGAGCAATAGTATTTTTCAAGTACTTTTTTTTACAGAGCAGGACCAAACCAAGAGAACAGTTGGTGAAATTATCTGTTTGTTTTTTTATTAATATCTCTTTTGTTTTCTCATGTTTCAGTTATAAATGGGAAGCCATCGACAGTGACAGAAATGTCAGCTATGAGTTCAAGCTCTGTGAGTCTTCACCGTCCACCAGCTGTGACTCCAGCACAGCCGTCTGCGCCCAGGACCTTACCACCAAAACTAAGCAGTCTGTTGGTGAGTACTGTTGGGTTTTTTTTCTTCTTCACTGGCTTGACATGCGTTTGTCTGCCAGCTAGTCTTTGTGGTAGTTTGTTCAAAGAGATAATAGTCAAAGAAAACGAATGACACAACAGGAAGTAGTTGCTGGTTTACAGCAACGTTCTGAGGTTGGCAGTTCTGTTCCGTTTGCAAACGTAATTCCAGGCTATTTTCAGTTAAAAATTGTTGTTTGAACAATTTAGAAAACGCACTAATAGGACAAAAAAGTATTGTGTTATAATGCATGGTATATCAAAATATTTGAAGGGTGCTTTGGGACTGTGGGGGTTTCTCCAGCAGTCTACGCCTGAGACAGAATGGCTTGGTTTACCTCAGCCAGTCATAATAATTAACTTTATGTACTGGAGAGTTTCTCCCTTAGGTGTTGTTCACTTAAAATTCTTGGTGACATTTTTTCCTCAGCCCCAGTAGATTTATGATCCTGAATGAGTAAATCATCATGTGATTAAAAAAAAAAAAAGAACACACACAAAAAAGCAAAGTTCGTCTTTGGCCTCTTCAAACTCTCCAGTGTCTCTAAGAATCACACTGTCACAGCAATTCTGTGTCATCTCTGCACTTTGAACCTCACTGTAAACTCCCCTGGACCACATGATGTGAATCTGCCTTTAAATGGTGTTTTTGCAAGTTTTCACCTTTGTCCTTAGACACAGTCAGTTCAGTCCCTCCTGTAGACACGAGATGAGAAACAAACACTGATGTTTTCTGGTACGTTGGCTGAAGAAGGCTAACCAGTAAAGACGGGTGTGTTAATGACAGAGTTGACTGGCTTCACGCCAGAACCAGGTGATCGGTGAGAACTGAACAGGACTCTGGAATCTGTCATTGTTCTTTCTTTGTTCTTGCAAAACCGGCACTTTTTTCCATGGAAAATAAAACTGAAGAACCTTTTCCTCCAAACATATAAAAATATATAAAGAAATTATACACTGTGCTAAAAAGCTGTCATTGGTTTTTTGGTGCGTTCTCCTCTCGTGTGTTTGTGTCGTTACTGCAGATGTTTGTCTCCAGCTGTGTAATCGATCAGTCGTCTGTGTCCCGTAACCTCAGAGTCACTGATATCATTAGCCTGAAAGAGCAGCGCTGACTGTTAGCATAACGTCACAATGTGACAGAGATGCTAAAGATTCTTTCCCCTCTAACTGTTACTGTGACTCAGAGCATCATGAGCAGATCTGATCAACGCTGATGAGACTCGGCCTCCTGCTGATGCTGCTGCTGCTGCTGCTGCTGCTGGTGTTTGTCAGCAGCATCCACATCTCTGTCAGAGTAAACCCTCTGACTCCTGAACTCTTCTCACGTGGCAGTTTTTCTGACCTTACTGAAACACTGAGCTTCTTGAATGATCTGGAGTGTTCCGCTTTTAGACCTTAGATAACGTTACAGAAACAGCAGTGGTTGGAGGTTAATCATACTTGGTCACATGACAGAGGTAAACACACACACACACACACAAATAGACTGCAGCGTCATGTCGTCCTCGTTCTGCTGGTTTAAGACTTTAGTAACAGTTCCTCTGACATTGGACACAAACACTCAGTCCTGCTTCATCATGTGACCTGTGTCCACTTTAGAGGAATAAGAGTGAAAAATAAGACACTTTTTTTTATTCATCCTTCTGTGTTGAAAGAGAATTAAATTTAGAGTAGGATTTATGTTTGATTTAATTAAGAGACTGGAGCTCCAACTGTGGTTCTCTCTGCCAACTCTCTTGTTTGTTTTCATGCTGGTACTGTAGCTCACAGTGTTGTTCAGTAACATTCCTTCAGACAGTAGAGAGAGAGCACAGGCAGAGCAAGCTCCTGATCACATGACCGACGCCGGCACACACAACACCGCCTACAGGAGAAATGCTGAAATAGGATATTTGGTGTTTGATGAACGTCAGATCAAACCAGGTGAGGACCAGTGATGATGATGTCCGTCCAGGTCCAGAGAAAAGCACAAAAACAGGACCAAAAGAAGTGTTCTTCTACTGCAGTGCTGTGGCGTACAGGTCGCACTCGGACCCAACATCCAGGGTCAGATTCAGATGTTTGAGTCTCAGGTTCATGTAGGGTTCCCACTGCTGTCTGAGTCTCATGATGACAGGGTGAGGGTGAGGGTGAGGGTGAGGGTGGTCTGGTGTGAGTCTGCAGGTCACTGAGGTCCAGTCATTAATAATCCTTTACAGCCCAGACCATCTGACAGTGGTCAACATCAGTGGGCTGAATGACTGATGAATGAAGAAGTCCAAAAAGGTTCTGTCTCTTTAACTGACAGCTGTCTGTGTCCGTGTCTGTGTCTGTGTGGACCTGTAGGTGACCTGACCCTGAAGACCCGCTCAGACGCGGTCCTGGACTTCAACAGCTCCATGAGATGTCCAGAAAGAAGCAACAACGTTCAGACCAGCATCAGTTTCCAGTGTGGGAAAACCATGGTAGGGGTCCGAGCGTGACATCATGTTTGACTTCACATGAGGAATGGACGGAGGTTATTTATTTACATTTAAAAAGAATCTGGAGCCACATCAGTGTCTGGTACTGTTTGTAGTCTTAGCACAAGCACAGTTCCTTCTAAGGAACCATGAGCAGAGAGAGAACAGAGCTGACGTGACGTGTTACAGCGGTGAGGTCGTCATCGTTGTCCTCCAAGAGGGGACTAGAGTGGTGCACCACCACCACCACCACCCCCCCACCACCACAGTAATAAAGAGACTGTTTTGTCGGCTTTAGACCCTCGAGATGTAAAATGATGTGGGACGTTTGTGAAGTCGTGAGGTGAGAGATCGTGAGGCGAGGTGGCTTCCTGTCACTTCCTGTGGTGTTCTCACAGGAAATGGAAAAAAAACTAAATTATCAGACAAATATTCAACTCACCAGAGGAAACAATTAAATTTTTCCACAGTGTCCATGTGTTGAACTGCCATGTCATCAATGTCTCATATCTACACCACTGTGTGTGTGTGTGTGTGTTCTACAGGGAACCCCAGAGTTCGTGGACGTGTCTGAGTGTGTGCACTACTTTGAGTGGAAGACCTACGTCGCCTGCAGGAGGGACAAATTCAAACCACACAAAGAGGTTTGTACCTGCTGCTGTGATGATGATGATGATGATGATGAAGATGGAGGATCATGGGTCTAGAATCAGATGGATGCATGGATTAAAGTCAGTGATTTAAAGTTTTAAACCGGTTCTTGACAGGTTCCCTGCTACGCCTTCGACTCGGACGGTAAAAAACACGACCTGAGTCCTCTGATCAAACTGAAGGACGGATACCTGGTGGACGACGGCGACGACAGCGTGGACTTTTACATCAACATCTGCCGCAGTCTCGGTGAGTAACAGAAGTGTGTGTGGGGAGGGGGGTAAAAAAGGGCATCCTGTGTTTCTATTTAAGAAACAGGAAGTTGTTCAAATCTATTTCAACACGCACACGCTGTCGACTGAAAACATCAGCATTTCTGGACAAATGAAGTCGCCACAAAAGAAGGAACTGGAACAGTTATGTCTGACCCTGCAGACGTGTTGGACGTGAAGGACTTCCTGCATCATAACAATAATGTCTGGTGTCAAACTGTCTTCATTGGACAATATTTAAGACCATCACTTCTCTGCCTCCAGTGCTGTTGTGACACGAGCAGCCAATCAGATTGACCCTCTCACTTCTGAGCAGCCTCCGAGGTTTCCATCTGATGTTTTCACCAGAATTTTCAGATCTGAAATGCTGAACTATCTGCCTCCGTATATAAATATGTTCCAAATATGTGTGACTCTGGAAAAGAACACTTGTCCAATGACACTTGTCCAATGACGTGTCTCCTTTGTTCAGATGATCCAGACAAGTCGTGTCCAGTTGGTTCCGCAGCCTGTCTGGTCAACAGTCATGGTTCCTACAGCATGGGTTCTCCGACCTCACCGCTGGAGCTGGTGGGCAGCGACAGGTACAACCTTTACTCTGCTATGTCACCACTAGATGGCAGCTTTTCCTACTCACTGGATCTTAAAGGTTTTTTTTCATGTTTGGTTTGAGTATTAACAAATAAAAACTGAATCTTTTCTCTTCCATCGTCTTCATATTTCTTCTTTGTCTTCTTCCTCTGGCTCCTCTTTCCTCCACTTGACCTTTTCCTCCTCTCGTTGTTTTTGTCTCCTTAATTCCTTTCCTTCTCTGTTCATCCTCCTCTTCTCCCTCTTCCTTAACTTTATTGTCTTTTTATTCCTGTCATTTCTTCAACCTCCTCATCATTTTTCTTCTTTTTTCTTCTCCTTTTTCACTCTGTCCTCTTTCCTCTTGCTATTTTACTTCTCCCTTCCTTTTCTCTCCTCTCTCCTCCTTTTTCATGGTTTCATGTTCTTTTGGTTCTTCCTCTTTCTCTCCTTTCCATTCTTCTTGTCCTCCTTGTATTTCTTTCTTCCCTTTGTCTTGTTTCCCCACCTTTCCTAACCTCAACTCTTCTGTCCTCCTCCTCTTCCCCGTCCTCCTCCTCCTCAGTCTGAGGTTACACTATGAACTCAGTCCGGGTTCGTCTCGTCCGGAGATCTGTCAGGATCACGATCCTGCCGTCACCATCACCTTCACCTGTCCTTCCAGCCGACATTCAGTAGGTGTCGCTCAACCGGATACCTGTCATTTACACTGCATTGATAGGGAAGTGAACATAAACACCCCCGTCTGTGTTGTCCTCCCCCAGGGCAGTATTCCTAAGATGACAGCAGAGGCTAACTGTCGTTACGAGGTGGTGTGGGTGACGGAGTACGCCTGTCACAGAGACTATCTGGAGAGTGACAGCTGCAAACTGACCAGCCAGCAGCACGACATCTCCATCGACCTGACGCCGCTCACCCTCAGCTGTGGGTGACTTTCTTTTTCTCCCCTTGTTTTTACCAGAAGTGATTAAAACTAGCCTTTATACCTGCAACAAGATTCAGGGTTACTGTATTAAAGGATACAAATCTGCAGCAGCTACGATGTTTAATAATCACCTTCTCCTCGGGTAGAGTGAGAATCAGAGAGTATTGCGTTTTTATTTAAGAATGAAAACTGCTGCTCCCCTGAACTCTGCCTCCATGAGGACTAGAGCTGTAAGAGAATACCACTATCCAATTTCACTTTTAATATCAATCTCCTCCATCAGTTATTGATTTTTTTCTCACCAACTCCCAGTCCAATATTCCTGGTGTTGGTTCATTTTCTTTTTCTTTTCTTTCTTCTCTGGTGATTCCAAATCTCCTCTTCTTCTTCTAATCTCTAACTTTTGTTTCCCCTCCACCTGCAGCCGCAGATCCACCCTACTACGCCCACTCTGAGTCCGGCGACGGAGCTGAGGTCTATGTCTACTACCTGAACGTGTGTGGAAAGATCCTGAGTGGCGAGTGTGGTCAAGACCCTCTGGCGTCGTCCTGCCAGGTGAAGAAGGACAACGACATGAAGAAGGTCGCAGGAAGATACCAGAACCAGACTCTGCGGTAAGTTCTCCTGGGTCAGCAGCTGCCCAGTCCACCGAAGGCGTTATCCCTGAACTTCAATAACTTGGACTGTTTTGTTCGTCTTCTCTGCAGATATTCAGACGGAGATCTGACTCTGATCTACCCAGACGGTGACAAGTGCTCCTCAGGCTTCCAGAGAATGACCATCATCAACTTTGAGTGCAACAAGAATGCATGTGAGAACTTTTTTTTTCATTTTACTGAGGGTGTACATATATGATATATTATATATATATAAAACAACGCTTTGGCTCCATCTTGTGGTTATTTCCTGATTAAGAAATGATCGTCTTCTACAATGTTGTCCATTCTCCCTGTGCAGTGGAGAGAGAGGTTCAAGCTTTTGAAAAAAAAAAGGGCTTCTCCTTTTTAAAAGTCCAGTACTTACAAAGTGCAGTACTACTGCTAAAAATATACTACTGCCAAAACTGTACTTAAAGAAAGTGGAGCACCTTAAAGCTGCAGTACAAAGTATAAGGTGCAGTACTCCTGCTAAAGAAGTGCAGTACTTCATTCTTGCTGCTGAATTTATATCAAATATTGTAATGTTGATTTTTTTGTTTTAATATTTCATATTATATGTTGTATGTACATGTGTATGTTACACGTGTGAACGTGAGTCTTTATCCTCCTCTCGTCTTCCTTCTTCATTACTAGCCAACAGTGGACGGGGGAACCCAGTTTTTGCCGGGGAAACCGACTGTACGTACTACTTCAACTGGGAGACGGCGTACGCCTGTGTCAAGGAGAAGGAGGACCTGCTGTGTCGGGTCACCGACGGCAACAAGCACTACGACCTCTCACCTTTAACCAGGTTCCCTGGTGAGTTGAACAAGCTGGTCTCTGACCAGAGTGGACCCCGACCACGTGACTTCAAGTCTTTTCACCTCAGTTTCTGTTTAGCTTAAATTTCACGGGATTTTTAATTTATTCCTTTGAGGATCATAATTATTCAGTTTGAGGTCCGGTTCTCTTCGGTCCTCTGGACTTTTTCATTTCAAACATCGTCTGTTTCTCTCTCTCTCCGGGTCACTGGTTCACAGAGTCAGACGCCAGTGAGAACTGGGAAGTGGTCGACGCAAATTCTCCGACCCCAGATGCACGTTTCTACCTGAATGTCTGTCATAAGGTTATCCAGAGTGGGGGCGCTGTTGGCTGCCCGGTGAACGCCTCTATCTGTGCTGTGGGTAAGTCACTGTCTGAGGAAGAACGGTTTCCATTTATGTCTTTTTATTGTAAATAATGGCACAGTAATGTGCCTCGACCCAGGGGTTGGGTTTCAATAATCCTTTCAGTGCATTTTTACTGCATTCATTTTGGCTCATATTTCCTTTACTAATGGCTCGGTTTCAGTTCTTTCTTTTTTTTCTTGTTGCTTCATGTTGGCCCTTGTTTTAAACCTGACTTGTGCAGCTCGGTGTTCAACCCTGTATCTGTGCTGCAGATAAGGAGAACAGGGCCATCAGCCTGGGCAGCTTCCAGTCGTCTCCTCAGAAGACAACATTAGGGGATGACATCAGACTGGTGTACAGCGATGGGAGCTTCTGCGTCGATAAGAAGACCAGGTTCCAAACCATCCTGACCCTCAAGTGTAAACCAGGTATGGTCAAGTCACGGAGTCAGACAACTGCTGCGTCTGCTGCTCTCTTCACATCACTGTTTGTCCTGCAGGAGACCTGGAGAGCGCCCCCATCCTTCGTACCGTTTCATCTGACGGTTGCCTATACGAGCTGGAGTGGTACACGCCCGCCGCCTGCGTCCTCTCCAAAACACAGGGAGACGACTGCAGGGTGGAGGATGCTCAGGCCGGTGAGACGGGCTGTGATTTATTTTTACCACAGGGAAGAGAAAACGTCATGTTATGATGTGGTCACCCATTTGTTTGTTTTTTTATTTTTAGGCTTTTCTTTTGACTTGTCTCCGCTCACCAAAGTCGGCGGCTTCTACAACCTCACCAGAGCCAACTATGATTACTACATCAACGTCTGTGGTCCGGTCAAGGTGGCCAACTGTAACGAAAAGGCCGGAGCCTGCCAGGTGGAGAAAAGGTGCCTGACCAGAAGAACCAGAAGTTTTCACTTCAGCTTTTATTTTCCTGGACAATGTTGTTGATTTTCTTTTCCCTGTTTCCCGTCCTGCAGCTCTTGGAATCTGGGTGAAGCCAACTCTCACCTGTCCTACTACGATGGTCTGATCCAGCTGAGCTACACCAACGGCACGGCCTACAACAACCTGGCCCACACTCAGAGATCCACCCTCATCTCCTTCCTCTGTGATCCACAGGCCGGAGTCGGAGCGCCAGAATTCCAGGTACTTTTCCTCGCACTGTGTCTCCGCGTACTCTTGACACAGACCATCAGAGTACTCCTAAGACACTTGTTTTTGTATACACCAGGACGAAGATAAATACACGTACAACTTTCGCTGGTACACGTCCTACGCCTGTCCGGAAAGACCGCACGAGTGTCTCGTGACCGATCCCGTCACTCTGGAACAGTACGACTTGTCCAGGTAGTAACACGAAGTACCACGCTTCAAACGCTCAAATATCAGGGGGTAGTTGAGAAAAGTAGAACAACCTGAAGATTTGTTTGATTGTTTCCTTATCAATATAGTCACATCATTACAGGAGCATTTGACCCAGTGGATTAACACTGTGCCCAAAGTAAGGAGCGGGTCCCCCTAGGGGCCGTGTCACTATCGCAGGGGTGCAAGATGATTTTAGATTAATTTAAATATTTTTCTTTAATTTTGTCAAAATATTGGACTTGCTTTTCGCTGTAGAAACAGTTTGGTAACCACAATGGACAATTTTTAAACATAAACAGGGTTCCAGAATAAACAGAATTTGAAATTTAAAAATAAAAGTACTTCTATAAATCAACACACCTCACCTTTTCTCCTTCTTCTTCTCCTCTTCCTCCTTCTACTTCTCTCAGTCTGACGCGCTCTGCCACCAGCAGTAACTGGCCGTCCATGGACATGTCCGACACAGAAAACCAGAGGAAGTACTACATCAACGTGTGTCGACCCATCAACCCGGTACCAGGCTGCGACCGCCACGCTTCGGTCTGCCAGATGAAGTACATCACTGAGCAGGTGTGTGTGTGTGTGTGTGACCTGCAGGGGGAGTGTTTTCTGCTTCAGTCGTCATTTTGTTTCCTGGACTCGGAGCATTTCCCGTTTCCTGTCTTTCCTCAGGGCGTCGTGAAGGAGACGGTGTCAGTCAGTAACATGGGCGTTTCCAAGCGAGCGCCCGTCATCGAGGCTCACAACCGTCTGCTGCTGGAGTTCACTGACGGCTCCATCTGTACGTCAGAGGGTGTGAAGCTCACCTACACCACCCGCATCCACCTGGTCTGCTCCAGAGGAACTGTGGTACGTGGGCCTGACGTTGGGTGAAGTCGGCCCTCAGATGTGGTGTCTGCTGTGTCACACTCTGTTTCTGTGCAGTCCTCAGGCCCACGCTTCCTCCTGTACCAGAACTGTTCTGCCAACTTCATGTGGGAGACCAGCGCTGCCTGTGCCATCACAACCACCAAGAACAACGTGAGTTTAGACCAGTGTTTCAACATGTGTTTGATCCACGTACTTCACATTAGAAGAAACCTCACTGTGTAGTACCATAGGAGTATTACACGTATGTTTAATGAAGTGTAACGATCTTGTAGTTTCAGTTTACTGACTACGCTGACAGGAATTGAAGAAAGAGACACCAGATGACTTTTGCAGTCATCTGATGCCACCTAGTGGAAGAGTATTTAATTATTGTTGCAGTCAGTAAGAGATTAAGAAGAGAAATTATTTGCAGTAAATAATAGTTTTCAGAACAACTGAGTGAAACTGGTTTAGATCAGTAACTATCAGGTCGGAAGAGTCATGAAATCGAATATCGATTGGTTTCAGCAGTTTATATTTACATTTTTGGATGATTATTTTTTTGTTTTTGTCTCTTTATTATTTGTTATTTGTCTCCATGTGTTCAGACCTGCACCATCGTCGACCCAAATACTGGTTTTGAGTTTAACCTTCAACCTTTGGCGTCAAAGACCCCGTACAGAGCGACTGCCAATGGGAAAGACTTTCTGGTAGAACATCCCATAATAGAACCGTGTTCACAGCCACAGTAACTAAGACGTGTCCCATCCTGTGGACATTAGACACTGAATTCACTGTCACCACGTGTTGGGTCTCCTGCCTCCAGGTGAACATCTGCTCAGACGTGGCAGAGTGTGGTCAGGGCATGGCCGGCTGTGAGCAGGTGGACGGGGCTCCCTACAGCCCCGTGGGCACTGAGAAAACCCTGCAGTACTCCACTGACGGTCTCCTACAGCTGACCTACAAGGGTCCACTGGACGACCCCACAGGTGACCACCGTCTTAAATAAGATATTAGACACAACATTAGCATTAGCAACTCATCGCTAATCTCATTCTATTTATTATAATCAGTAACTTTGGCTCCTCCTTCTGTTCCTGCAGCCACTCGGGACACGTTCACCATCGACTTTGTGTGCAATCCATACTCTCACCGTGCTTCCTTGAAAGTGATCCGGGAGGAACTGAGCTCAGTGACCATTCACGTGGTCCACGATGTCCTGTTTGAGTTCTACACTGCCCTGGCCTGCGTCCCCGCTCCTGTTGTCTGCCAGTTCAGTGGTGGGAATTTAAAACAAATCCACACTCGGCTCAACTTCCTGTTCATCAAAAGTTTTAGGTTTTAAATTCTGCTCTGCTCCTCCTTTACATCCAGACACTCAGGGGAACAGGTACGACCTCAGTCACCTGATCCGGGACGAAAACGACAGTCCCTGGGTCGCCATCGACACAGACTCTTCCAAGTCACGCAGCTTTTACCTCAACGTCTGCAAACCGCTGCCCCCTTCCATCGACTGTCCAGGTCGGTCATGTGGACATAAAACCCCGTAGACTAGTGGAGTAAGAGACCAGTAGGTCATTCATAAGACGCTGACCTGGTCCTGGTATCTCTTTTCTCAGCTGGTCCTTTGGGAGCATGTGGTTTGATCGACGGTCAGGTTCACAACCTTGGATACATCCAGTCCATGCCGCAGGTGGCCGAGGGCGGATCCATCAGCATCTCCTATCTGAACGGAGACCAGTGCGGTCCCACCTCTCGCTACTCCACGCGCATCATCCTGCAGTGTGACAACAATCCAGTGAGTGGCAGCAGCAACAACAACAACAACCGACAACTTTGGAGCCGAAGAGTCGTTCAACATTCAAAGCATAAAAATAAGACAGATTTTTATTTAGAGCTTCTATCTATTAGGTTAAGACGAGGATCAATGTCCAAACCAACCAATCAGGTTTTTTCTTTTTTTTTTTGCAGGGCTCTCCCATGTTTGATCGCGTTGCTGGATGTGAGTACATCTTCATCTGGAGAACGTCTGAGGCCTGTCCACTCAAGAACTCCCGAGGTGACAACAGAGACACCATACGAGCTAATCTGAGTTCATGTCTGTCCGTAGTGAAGTGGGCGTGGCCACAGATGTTGACTGAGGGCAGATGGAGTTCCTCTGCTGACTTAACTAAATCTGGTGAATATTGTTTGCGTCATATTTGACATTTCCCTCCCAGGCGCTCACTGTCGAGTCCGTGACACGAAGAGTGGTTACGAGTTCAACCTGAGTTCTCTGAAGGGCAAAGATTATCAAGTCAAGAGTGGGAAGTACATCTACCACCTGTCCGTGTGTGATGAACAGAGAGAGGTCTGCACGCACGGTGACTTGTACCCTGGAGCAGTGGCCTCCTGTCAGGTGGACGGAGACAATCACAGGATTGCAGGTACTGTTCAGACCTGCTCTGATGACTCTGATGGTGTTTGGCAGGTTCTTTTTTTTTGTCTTTTATTTAAAATGTTTCCTAACGATGTCTTGGTTTTTTAGGGTTAGCGAACCAGGAGCTGAGCTACATTGGAGACCAGCTGATCCTGAACTACACCCTCGGAGAGATCTGCCACGATATTTACCGACGATCCACTGAGATTCACTTCTCCTGCCACCCCGACAGGAATCCTGTGAGTCTGACACACACACACACACCCACACACACACACATTAGTTAGCATTAAAAACCTAAAGTATAGAATATTTTATTTTTATTTAGAATATAGAAGAAATAATAAAATATATACAGTATATATAAAATAATCAACCAATATTATCGGCTGATATTATTCATTATCATTATTGGTTAAAAAAACTTTAATACAACTAATAGTTTTGGGGATAAACAGCTGTACATTAAAGTGTAAAGCCACTAGATGGCAGCATTGCAGCTCATTTTATTAATCAGGGGATCAAATGCAGTCAGTGTTGGTGCCGACAACTCATACAGTGGTTTGTACAGATAAATAAATAAATATTACCAGGCCTTATAGCAGTATTGGTTGATATGGAAATTAAGTGTTTGGAAAATATCGGATATTAGCTAAAAGGTAATATCGGGACATCCCTAATTAATTAATTTTTTTCCCTCATCCTAGGGAGCTCCAGAGTTTATCAACGAGACCTCAGACTGCACCTACATCTTCAGCTGGCCCACGGCTCTGGCCTGTATCCCCGTCAAACCCAGCGGCTGCTCCTACAAGTAACACACTTCTCTGCTCTTCCTCCGTCTACTTCTCACAGCTAGCCTTCTCCTCTCCTGTGTAATCTTGGCTTCAAGTGTGAGTATCTTTCTAATATTGTCATCACTGTCCTCAGTGACGGTCAGGGTCATTCCTACGACCTTTCATCTCTGACCCTGGACTCCGGGAACTGGGAGGTGGAGACTCCAACGGGCAGCACGGACAAACAGTTCTACCTGAGCGTGTGCCGGCCCCTGGTGCAGCAGGCAGGTGGGTGGAGGCCGTCCGTGTTTGTGTTCACTGACGCGGCAAAGTTATAAAAGCACCAATGAATCGTCCGCTGCTGGTCTTCACCCAGGCTCCTGGAAGTGTCCGTCCAGTGCAGCGTCCTGTCTGAAGGTGGGCGAAGATTACCTGAGTCTGGGTCAGGTGTCGTCCGGCCCTTCTTGGGATGGAAACGTCCTGAAGCTGGAGTACCACAGCGGTCAGGCCTGTCCTGACGGACGCCGCAACCGCAGCAGCATCATCCGCTTCAAGTGTGACAAAGACAAAGTGGTGAGATGGTCCCGCCCTGGTCTCCATAAAACCATGGACACTGAGGGATGTGCACACATATATAAATATATATAAATACACACATATTTATTTATATATGTATATCTATATATATATGTGTGTGTGTTTATTTATGTCTGTGTATATACAGTGTGTGTGTAAATCTTAAAATACATTTTAGACACATTGTTATGAAATCAACATTTCTAATAAGGGTGTTTTTTTTTTCCCAGGATTCTCGGCCCGCTCTGATCTCCGCCCTGGAGGACTGTGTCTACACCTTCTTGTGGTTGACAGCAGCCGCCTGTCCTCTAAACAGCACGCAGCACGATGACTGCAGGGTCACTAACCCAGCGACAGGTGATGAACCAACCCCCCACCCCCATAAAAAAAAACTAAACCCCCCCGGGGCCTTGTTGAACCGTTCGATCCGTCTCACGTTTCTTCTTCTTCTCTCCACCACAAGGTCATCTGTTTGACCTGAACCCGTTGGCCAGGGACGGCGGCTACACAGTCTACGATCACCTGGAGAACACAAAGATGTTCCGCATGAACATCTGTGGGGGTGTGCCCAATGTGGGTTGCGGACCCGATGCTGGTACGTTACATTCTTTAACCCTTTCTGCCCCGTTAGAATGGAGTAGAACCCGAAACCTTTGATTGTTGTTAAGGTCATACATGTGCACCAGTCGTTCATACCAGCTCACAGCGTACATTTGACCTGTTACTGTGAGAGCCAATAGAGGGTTAATTTTGAACCACTGATGATAAATGTTTTTTTAATAGAATTAGGTTTTTTTTTCTCTCTCAGAGTTGATGTTAGTTTTTCTCTCTCTGCCAAATCAAACAGAGCTCACATGTTTCTGTTTGAATCAAAGATTAGTCAAAGTAAAAAAAAAAAAAAATCATTATTCTGTTTTCATGGAAGGATGGATTCATTGAAGAACTTTTAACTGGTTACTGTTTTCACACACACTTGGTTGATGAAACACAGCACATGCGTCAGTGCCGTTTGTCACCTGCGTCACTGACATCATAACAGCTGTGTTCCCATCACTTCAGTAATGAATGACTACAGTTCTAATTACTGTTGGAGTTGATGTTTGAACGCCACTGTCTGAGGCCTGTCAGAATAAATGAACCTGCAGTCACATGTTTTATGTAGAAACTCAGGGAAAAGTCAAAGTAAACAGAAAAACTAAAGAGACAAACTAAAGAAATATCCTAATATTTTAGTGTGTACAGTTAAATTGTTTAAACAAAACTCGAAAAACTAAAGAGACTATCGTATCGTTGCCCCTGTATCGTGATATGTATTGTACACATTTGTGTGTTGTTTTTTTTTTTTAATCTCTCTCTACTCAAATATATTTCCACCGAGAGTACGCAGACTGACCGTCGAGATTCTACTCCGTTCTTTGCAGTACTGTGTACTCTGACAGCCCGTACCTCTGTGTTGTCTTTGACAGCTGTGTGTATCAAACACGGCAGTGTGGCACTGAGCGCTGGTAAGGTGAGCAAGAAGCTGTCGTACAAAGACCACGTGGTGGAGCTGACCTACGAGGGCGGAGCTTCCTGTGCAGCCAATCCCAGCCTCACACACAGCTCCATCATCCACTTCATCTGCAGGTTCTCAGCTGCTCCTCATTGTTCTCTGCTCTTCTTTGGACTCCACCAAAACCTCCTGCTGCATATTAATGTTTCCCGTCCCTTGCAGACCCCCTAACACGGGCTCAGGCCCCCAGGAGCCCGTCCTCATTGACTCTGACGCTGAAACCTGCACACACTTCTTCTCCGTCCACACACCGCTGCTCTGTGAGCAGCCTGTGAGTGTCCCACTGTTTACGTTGTAGTGTGTTTGTGTGTGTGATTTAGATTATTTCATTTGTCAAACCCAAATTCATAAAAGACATTTTTTTTCTATCAAAGATTGGAGACTGATGTTACTAAAAAACACTTGTTATACTGAGTTGGTGAAAAGTGTCGCGGTTCCTCCTCAGGTGAAGTGTTCCGTGCAGAACGGTTCTTCTCTCATTGACCTCACTCCTCTGATCCACATGAGCGGTTACTACAGAGCCACAGGTCAGTGACCTCAACCGTGACGTCTTCGTCCTTCAACTGCATCTTTCAGGGTTGTGGTAATAATGACCTCTGACCTTTGACCTCTGCCCTGTCAGAGGAGGCCGGGGAACACAGCGATGGAACCTCGACCTTCTACATCAACGTGTGTCTCCCTCTGAACTCCATCCTTGGAGTCAGCTGTCCCGCTGGAGCTGCTGTCTGTATGGACCCCAGTGATGGACCACCAGTGGTGAGACGTGGGGACGGTGAAGGTGTCCTCACCCAATCATGTCCTACCCTCTGCCTCATTGTCTCGTTTTGTTTTGTTTCCCGCTCCTCCAGGACATCGGACGGACGACTACCGGTCCCGTCATCAACACCGCCACCCGTGAAGTTTCCATCACGTACCACAGCTCCACCCAATGCAAAGAAGACCCATCACAGAACTACACCTCCACCATCATCTTCAGCTGCAAGAGAGGCGTGGAGCTGGTCAGAAGACCCCCGTCGTATATGTCTTAGTCGTCTGAGTGTTTGGACAAACCTGACCTTGGTCTTCTGTCTCTGTGTCCAGGGCTCTCCTCAAGTGCTCCAACTGGAGTGTACGTACCTGTTTGAGTGGGCCACATCCGTGGTCTGTCCAGATGCCACAGAGACCCACGGCTGTCAGCTCACCGACTCCCAGCTCCAGTTCACCTTCGACATCTCCTCTCTGTCTGGAGAAGTCCAGGTGAGATCAGGTCCTGCTGGCACGTACAACCACCTCAGTCCTGTGGTTTCCAAACCAAAGCAAACATTACGACCACTTCCTGTCTGGTTAGGTTCCTCTACCCGATGGCCTGTACCACATCAACGTGTGTGGCTCGGTGTCAGAGCCGGCCTGTAGGAACAGCACCATCTGCCGTGTGTACGGTTCAGGATCAGACAAGACCGCCATCTCCTACGGCATCAGCAGAGCCATGACCATGGACTTCAAACATGACGTGCAGGCGGTTCTGATGCAGTACGGTGGAGGAGACCCCTGCCCACCAGGTAGGTCTGCTTCTGTGCGAGGACCAGTTTATTTGACGGACGTTCTGCTCTGGGCTCTTTAAAAATGCATTCTCTGTGCTGCACGTGGGCCACGGGCCACATCTTCATAAACTGAAACACTACCTGTGGTGTGTGTTGCAGTGACGACCGAGGGAGAGGTGTGTGTGTTCCCCTTCATCGCCATGAAGAAGTCCTACACTGACTGCACCACCGACCAAAGAACTGACGGGAGGAAGTGGTGCTCCACCTCCGCCAACTACGACACTGACAGGAAGTGGGGCTTCTGCACCGAAGGTGACAAAGACACCTTTGAGGAACATCTGGGAATTCAACCGTTGAATGCTTTGAAGATGAAGAAATGTTTTTAAACTCTGTGTTTGTCCTCCCTGCTCCTCCCTCCAGCCTCAGGTAATCGTCAGTCCTCCATCATTTTCACCTGCGACCCGTCTGCAGGCCTTGGCTTTCCTCAGTTCTTCTCAGAGACGGCAGGTTGTTCAGCTACCTTCCAGTGGAACACCACCGCCGTTTGTCCCCCGAAGAAGATGGACTGCAGTTTGGTCAGCCAGCATCAGACCTTTGACCTTCGATCTCTGTCCTCCCTCACAAAACCCTGGAAGTTCAGCCACAAAGGAGACTCGTAAGTGTCATCAGCCCTGCTGGTTTGCCAGAAAACATAGTTAAAATAAAAAAACAAAGTTACTTATTAAATAAATATAAAAATCTAACCTTGAAGTTACTGTGAAGCCCAAGACTAGTTCTACTTTGAATCCTCTCTTTTCTCCTAACCTCAAGTCTTTAGCCAAACCTAATACATTTATCAAATCATCAAAACTTATTACATCATTTATTCAAAATATCAAGTTTTAAGAACCGCGGCTGCTCAGCGCCCTCTAATGTTGCACCCAGTCAACTGTGTGTTTGATGCTGTTTGTTCTGCAGTTATTTCATCAACCTGTGTCAGGGGATCCACGGTAAACCACTAGGCTGTCCAGAGGACGCCTCCGTGTGTCGACACCTGTCTTCAGGGGTGACTCAAACCCTGGGTCGGGTCTACACTCAGCAGATGATCTATTCTGGTGAGCAGTGCAGTCACGTTAGCATGGAGACAGAGGCAAAGGATTTTAGCCAATTAGCTTAAAAACATTTCTACACAAATGTAACAGTGCCTCAGTCTAGGATATTCAGTCGGTGGTTCTCAAAGTGGGGGTTGTGAGTTTTCCCCCCTGGTCTCTGTCTGCAGATGGAAAAATCGCCGTCAGTTACTCAGAAGGAGACGCCGTCTGTGGGAACGGCGTGAAGGCCAAGACGCTGATCCAGCTCAGCTGCAGCTCCACGGTGGGACATCCAGCGCTCCTCAGGTGACCACCACAGTGACTTTGTGGATGATTGTTGGAGGAATGTGTGAGGAAATGATGCTCATTTCACTTGACAACGTTCCACTGAAACATTAATTTATGACACGGTCCAGTGTTAACGACAGACAGAGGTTGAAGTTTAATCTGTATCTCAGGACACAAAAGAACAACTGTAAAACCCTGACCTTTGTCTCGTTATTTGTTTTTTTTTTCTTCGGTTTGATGCAGAGCTGACTCGGCCTCCTGTGAGTTTGTGATTCGCTGGGAGACCCGATTTGCGTGTGCGTTGAAGCAACGTGAGGTGCAGATGGTCAACGGAATAATACAGGTCCCAGACACCGGTGTGGTGCTCAACCTTGGAGCTCTGTACTTTAGGTACACCCTAAGTCACTGTTCTCACCACGATGCCCAGGATTACGTGAAAACAAATAATTATTGCAAAAAAAAAAATATGGATGCAGCCCTTTGTGGGGCAGTTAAATTAATGTTAAAACTGTCTTTATCAGTGCAGCAGTGAGGAGGTTACACTGGTTTAAAGATTAACAGAGATTTGAATTTCATGTCTGTGACCATGTCGTCGGGCAGAACCAAAAGGGGAACCACACGTTTATAATTTGGAACTTATTTCCACATAAGTCAGAAAAACATTTTTCTTCAGAATGTCTTTATCCTGCGTTCTCCCTCGTCAGCCACCATCAGGCGTCTGGAGACGTCCGGTCCAACGGCGACCGCTACATCTACCACATCCAGCTCTCAGGCATCACCAACAACTCGCTGGACAACTGTCTGGGCGCCAACATCTGCCAGGTGAAACTCGACAGCAACTACACACGGCGTATTGGTTCGTCCAGTGAAGCCAAATACTACATCAAAGGTAGGAATGAAGCCTTTGAACTGTATTCATGTCAATTTCTGTTTTCAGTTTCCACTTTAGGAGGAAAATGACAATAAAATATCATAGGAAAAACAAACATCTCCTGTTTTGTCCACCAGGAGGAGACATGGAGGTCACGATTCCCTCTCAGTCCGACTGCGGTCGTGAAGATAACAAAACGGTGTCGTCGATCATCACGTTCTACTGTAACCCGTCAGCAGGCGTCGGGATTCCTGAGTTCCAGATGGAGACGGTCCGGTGCCACTACCTGTTCCTGTGGCACACGGACGCAGTGTGTAATCTGATGTGAGCGAAACACTCTCAGCGTCTCCGCCGCTGTCATCCACAGAGAAGGTGATCATTTTCCTCTGTTGTTACGCAGAACCATCGATGCAACGCCGTTTTACGACGATGACCCCGTTGTGTCGAGGCGGACTCAGACGTTGGGTCTGGTTCTGAGCCTGCTGTTGGCAGGACTGGCTGTCTGCCTGCTGGGACTGCTGCTCACTAAGAGAGAGAGAAGGTGACGACACACACACACACACACACACATCCTGAGATTCTCTGTTTCACCGTTAACCAAAGAACCCTCCGTGTTCTGTTCTGTCTTCAGGGAACTGGTGATCCAGAAGGTCGCCGGCTGCTGCAGGAGAGGAAACCAGGTCTCCTATAAATACTCCAAGGTAGAACACACAAACCTCTCCCTCCTCTCCCTCACACTCACGGAGAGCGTTTGATTCAGGCTGGTCTCACTAACGCGACCTTGACGCCCCCAGGTCAACATGGACGAAGAAGGGGAGGAGGAGATGGAGTGGCTGATGGAGGAGCTGGAAGCCCCTCCCACATCCTCCTCCTCTTCCTCCCACAGGGGCAGGAGTAAACATGGGAACGGCCACATCAGGACCAAGCCGGTGAACACGGACGGCCTGCGCTCGTTCTCATTGGACGAGCAGGAGGACGACAGTGAGGACGAGGTGCTGAGTGTCCCCGGTGTCCAGGTGGTGAAACCACAGTCAGGACTGTCGAGGCAGTCGGCTCAGAGAAGTGTCTTTCTACAGGTGAGGGATGCTTCAACAACAGCCTACAGGGGGTGCTAAGTACACATTTCAAGTCCTGTTTCATTGAAGGCTAGGCTAGGCTAGGCTAGCTGACACGCACATACTCCCAAACCTAAAAGCTGGTCCATCCATGGGGCCGCAGGTCTTCTTTTTAAACCTCGGTGTCTGTCTTTAATTCCAGGAGGAGAGCGACGAGGACCTGGTCGGACTGCTGGACGATTCCGACCGCAAGAAGAAAAACGGCAAACCTCGCTCTTCGGGCCTAAAGCACGGTAACAACACGACAGACGGTGGGAAACGGGACGAGGATGACAGTGATGAGGACCTCCTCAGGGTGTGACCCTCATCTTGGTCCTCCCTCTGTCTGAACTCTTCTCTCTCTCAGTGAATGTCAACATTATATCAAAGAGCATCAGTCAAATTCCAACAATGTTAAAAATGGGAATTCTTTTCCTTTCTCTATGGGATTCACATTTCTGGACCTTTTTTTTTTTCCGTCCAACCTTCGGCCTCTCTGTCCATCCCATAATGTCAACGTCAGCACACGGTGTCTTATTTATTGAAAGCTGATTGGTTAAAAGGTTCTTCGGGGGCGGTTCTGATCTCGTCCTCTCGTCTCTTCTGTTCGTGATTCTGTTTCAAAAGCACGGCCACGCCCACGGGTCGGGGAGTGGGAGGTCACGGGGGGGGGCGGATGTGAATAAGAATGAACTTGTCTGGTACTGATCTTTCGTCTTAGTGTTTTAAAATAAAGCTGTGCCACTGCTTTAGCACTTTATCGTAGCATTGATGAACTGACGTTGATTTGTCTCATTCACATCCACATCTGATTTGACCTTTGACCCGAGGTTTTAAGATCAAAGCCTCGCCGGAGACTGGAACTTTCAGGTTCTCAGAGTAATTCTTCAGACGTGTTAGACCTGAGACGGTGACCAGAGACTTGGAAGACTTGTCACGTCAGCCGGGGGCGTCTCTGTCTGTGAGCAACACAGGTCAACACGTGGCTCCTTCACCCACTAGTGCACAACGACCTTTTAGAAGGAAGGTCAAGCTAGTATTATTGGAACTAAATTTGAATGAATACACAAACATGTATTTCTACGCTGATATACATATATAAATATGTATGTATTTATGTATGTATGCAGGCACAGAGGCATCGTTGATCAGTGATTGTTACTTCCCTCTGATCTGTAGGCATCGTTGATCAGTGATTGTTACTTTCCTCTGATCTGAACTTCCAGGCTGCTGATTGGACTGTCGTTTCTAAAGGGAAAAAAAAAAAAAAACAACAACAACCAAACAGGTGTTTACTGTTTGTTTACACTGGTTCAAAATACAGATCTGTTTCCTGGGTGAGAACTCAAACCTCTGAGCTGCTGTCGATGAGTCCTCCACCACAGCATGACCTTTGACCTTCTCAGATGACAGAAGCTGTACATCAGAGTCACCAAGGCTCTAGAACCTGGACTTTTGACTCTTGGTGTTTTTCTTGTTTGCGGTTATTGGTCATTTGATTTTTTTTTTTTTATTTCTTTTCCGGTAAATCTTGAAGTGTTTGTCTGAGCTGACTGTGTGTGTGCGTGCGTGTGCGTTTTTTGTGTTTTGTGTGAAAATCGTGACGGCCTTAGGTGTGAACGGAGCAGTGATGACGATGAAGGTTTGGAGGAAAAACTTGAAAATGTGGGGTTGTTGTCTTTGTTTTGAAGCCATATTGTTTCCACTTGCACTCGTGTGTCACATTAAAACGCTCTCCTTCCCGGGGTTGCACACTCGGACTCAGTGTTGGTCGGTTCTGTTTCAGGTACAGCGTTATGTCCAGCTGCCAGTCTTTATTTTGCCAAATCCAGCTGATGGAAACTCAGTGTCAAGTCCTGACCGCAGGTCCACCGTGTCTCAGCCAAAAACATTAACTCAACTCCAAACAGTACTAAAAGTGGCCACTAGTTGGAATTGTTCCAGTTTTGATGAAAACACCCTGAAACCAAAACGTAGCTTAGCTCAAACCGTTGGCCGTGACAGGAAGTCCCCGGTACTGCCGAGCCTCTCGAGTCCATTTGTATTGTTTTTCTCCCTGCTGCTGTGGCTGGTACCAGCAGGTGGCGCTGCTCTGGTCTGGACTGTACTGAGCTGTTTCCTTCCTGTTTGGGAGTGGAATTCAGATTCAGATGATTCTGATGTGAAGTTTTGGGTTGGTGTTAGTTTGGTTGTTTTGTCCGAGTTTATTCTTTCAGCTTTTTGCCTGTTTTTCTATTTAAAAGATGTTGATGTAAAAAAAAAGCATAATTTGAATAAATAAGAGAGCTGCAGATGAACTCTGCTGTGGTTTGATTTTACTCTGAAGAAGAACAACAACAACAACTCTGAATGGAGACTTTAATTGTTTTTTTGTTTGTTTCATGTAAAGTTTTGGTTGTTGAATCTAAAAACTACTGTTCAAAATTCAGTTGGTTTTGTCTTTTTTTTTTTAAATCCCAAACCAAACCTGATTTCTTTCATTAAAAACATTAATTATATTCACATGTTCATTTCTGATGTGTTGTTGCTGATCAGCCAGGTCCCCCCCCGACCCCCCCAACCCTTCCTCCCCCTGGACACCAGTGGACACCAGTGACGTCTGACCCAAACCCCCCCCTTCTGTAACCCCCCCCCCCCTCCCACCCACCCCACCCACCTTACCTTTAAAACCTTCAGGGGCAGCAGAGACATCCAGACTCCGTGGTCCTGCAGGTCTATAGGCAGCGTCGTTCAACCGCTCCACCACCATGACCTCCTTTGACGACATCCTGGAGGAAGCTGGGAAGTTCGGCAGATGCCAGAAGAGAATCTTCATCCTGCTCTGCATGGTGTCCATGCCGTGGGCTGGAGTCTACGTCGGCATCGTCTTCCAGGGCTTCACCCCAAATCACTGGTGCCGAGACTCGGTGGTGGCGGAGAAGACGCTGGCGTGTGGCTGGGGTCCCGCAGATGTCCGCAGACTGGCCGTCCCTCTGGTCAACTCCTCTGGGGAGCTGCGGCCCAGCAGCTGTGAGCGGTACCAGGTGGACTGGAACGACACCGTGCTGACCTGCGACGCACAGGAAGTGGACATGAGCAGAATTCCCACTACCAGCTGCACGGAAGGCTGGGAATACGACTACGAGGGACGACAGTCCTTTGTGACCGAGGTGAGAAGAAACTGTGGCTCATATCCACAAAAGAGGGCACGGTAGAGAGTTTGGGAACCACGGCTTGAGCCTCTATCAGCCAGATGCCTCCCATTCGTTGTCATGTTTTTTGTGACACAGCTGACTGTCCTCTGTTTGACCCCCAGTTTGACCTGGTGTGTTCTGATGAATGGCTGATCGACATGTTCCAGGCCATGCTCAACATAGGGTTCCTCCTTGGCAGCATCGCCATTGGTTACCTGGCAGATCGGTAAGTCTGAGATCAGATTAATCCTCTTTGTGGGAATGTTTTTTCCAGCTGCTGCTCAGAGGATTCTGGGAACTTGAATTATTTTTTTTCCACCTCCAGGTTTGGCAGGAAGATGAGTTTCCTGATGTCCAACCTCCTGAACGGGATCACGGGAATCCTGGTGGCCGTGGCTCCGAACTACACCTGTCTACTGATTTTCAGGTTGTTGTTTGGGTTTGGAGTGAAGTCGGGCTGGATGGCAGGATACGTGCTGAGTGAGTTTCCAGATCTGATGGATTTCGATGAGAGCTGTCGGTTTCTTTAACCGTCAGACTTGTTGTCTTCTGGTCTCAGTCACGGAGATCGTGGGCGTGGAGTACAGACGAACCGTCGGAGTCATTTATCAGATGTTCTTCAGTGTCGGGATCCTCTTCCTCCCCCTGCTGGCCTACTTCATCACAGACTGGCGCTGGTTTCAAGTGGCCATCACTGTTCCCTACATCGTCTTCCTGGTCTACTACTGGTCCGACCTTCTCTCCTGGTTCTTCACCACCAAAGCCGAGGATAAACACCGTCGTTTCTTCACCTTGGTTTTCTGTTTGTGCAGGTTCATCCCTGAGTCTCCGCGGTGGCTGCTGTCTCAGAACCAGAACGCCAAAGCTGTGAACATCACCGAGGACATAGCCAAGGAAAACAAGAGGACACTGTCCAAGAACATCGAGGTTTGTCTCCAGAGATGATCCAGGTTAGAACCGACTCAACCACCAACGTGTTCAAACGCATCTTTGTTCCTTCAGAACCTGCGGGACGACAACGCCGAAACGACCACGGCCTCCTTCATGGACCTGATCAGAACTCCCAACATGAGGAAACACACGCTCATCCTCAGCTACAACTGGTCAGTCCAACATCTACACATCAAAGCCCACTCAGATCCAAGTCTCCCCCACACGGGAGACTTCTCCATGAAAACCTCCAGACACTAAATATTTTACTAGTTTAGTATTTGTTGATCTTAAACGGTCTCTGACCCTGACCCTGACCCTGACCCTGACCCTTCACTGGGTACTTTTTTGGTACCTGCTACAGACAGATCCAGAAATGTCCATTCATTACTGGAACTTTAGGGCATGTCCCACATCGGTTCTGTATAGAAAGGTACAAAGGAGTTAAGACAAGAAGAGACGTATAAATGGGAGTTAGCGAGTGTGTACACCAAGGCTAGTCATATTTGTCATATTTGGACGAAGCCGTCAGTAACCGAACGTCACCATGGAGACGTGAAGGCAGCCATGGGAAAATGTCATGTCCTAAGTATTGTCTGCATTTAAATGCATCACGTTTTTGTATCTTCTGCATAAAAATGATAACGTGCGATCGATCCTCCTGCCCCCTCCCCCACATCCCCCCCGTCCTGCAGGTTCACCAGTGCCGTGGTCTACCAGGGTTTGATCATGAGGCTAGGCATCCTGGAAGGAAACGTCTACATCGACTTTCTCATCTCTGGACTGGTGGAGTTTCCCGCCGCTCTCCTCATCCTCTTCACCATTGAACGCATCGGGCGTCGCCTTCCCTTCGCCACCGCCAACTTTGTGGCCGGAGCCGCCTGCCTAATCACCGCCTTCATCCCAGACAGTGAGTGTGGGAGAAGAAACGTTTTTTGTTTTTTTTGCCACAGTCCAAACGATGACACATCGTTGTTTGTGTTTTTGGTGGTGAAGGTTTGCTGTGGTTGAAGACGTTGGTGGCCTGCATCGGGCGTCTGGGCATCACCATGTCCTTTGAGATGGTGGTGTTTGTCAACACGGAGCTCTACCCCACGTTCGTCAGGTGAGGGCGTGGTCACACACGGGTTGATGAAGTTCAGTCGTTCTAAAGTCTCTGACTCTCCGTCCTTCTCTCCACAGGAACCTGGGCGTCTCCGTCTGCTCCACGCTCTGTGACATCGGTGGAATCATCGCTCCCTTCCTGCTCTACAGACTGGCCGCCGTCTGGCTGGAGCTGCCGCTCATCATCTTTGGTGAGTCAGAGTTTAGTCCAGCTGCAGTACTCCTGCTGAGGTACGTGTGTTGAGCTCACATCTGGTGGACCAGCGGTGGACCAGTGGTGGACCAGCGGTGGACCAGTGATGGTCACTTAGTGACTCCAACTTCACACGTTCTCTGAAGGTCAGAGGGAACTGGAACCTGGATCAGACCAGCGGTTCCACGGCCCAAGCTCAGGGACCGTTGACCTCCTTCCTGTGTGACACCGTTCAAACCCGTTAAACTGCGGTTCATCTGTGTTTGTGTTCAGGTTCTCTGGCCTTCCTGGCTGGAGCCCTGGTCCTGCTGCTGCCAGAGACCAGAGGCGTGCCGCTGCCCGACACCATCGATGACATCGAGTTCCCCAACAGGTGAGAAAAGAGAACTGTCATTTAAACATTTACACAAACACTTCTGATGTTCCTCAGTGTGGGATCAACAAAGTTTAATCCAGTCTGATCTAAGGATGATTTAAACACAGCTGTGTTGCTGAAGCTCTTGTTTTTCTCCGTTGGTTCTGTTTCATCGTCTTCTTCCTTGTTCTCCCTCAGGAAGAAGGAGAACGTTGTTCTAAAGGAGCAACAGTCGACCAAGCTGTTGCCCATGACGACCAACAAAAACCCAGCCACCGTCTAGACTCCAGTCTGTGACTGTGAAGTTATTTATGACTGTTGTTGTTGACGTTGTTGTTGACGTTGTTGTTGACGTTGTTGTTGTTGTTGACGTTGACATGTGAACGAGGGACAGGAAGTGAGGTCAGGAGGAGAACGCTTCTACTCTGTTCTGAACTTTGTTGTACTTTTTTGTTAACTTTTGTTTATCTGCTGTTGTGTATATTTTATTAAATAATATTAATTTTTTTTTCTCAAATTAAATTGAAAAAAAAAAAGAACCACTGACATTTTCTTTCTTCTCGTGGTGGTTGTTTTTTTTATCAACCTTTTACTGGTTTGCAACTTTGATACATAAACATTTATGTACTGTGTGTATATTGTATATATGTATACATATATGTACAGTATATATGTATGTATGTGTCCATATAAGTGTTAATTAGTTTTACTCATTTGTTACTAATCTAACGAGTCTAATTTAATCCTGTCCTTTCATCCATTTATAAGGTACAATACTGCCACCTGCTGGCCGTATTGTGCTCTGGTAGACGTTCCTTACTAGAAACGTCATGATCAGATTTATTTGATATTTTTATGGAAAAAAAACCCTTTAATTCTTTCCAGAAAATCTGACAAATTAAATAAAATAATCAGTATTTTCTGCACCGTCTGTCGACGTTGATGCAAACGTTTTCATTTTTCTTTGATGAGTCGGTGTGAAGACGTTCATATTAAAACAGCTGATTGTTGTAAATGGAACCGATGAAGTGCAAATGATTCTGACTGAGACCGTGTCTTCACAGGTGTCTGAGGAGAGCGTCACTGTTTCAACGAGTCAGGTTGACCTTTGACCTTCTGCACACCGTAAACCCATGCCTGTCCTGCAGGTGTCTCTCCAGTTACACATTGATGAATTTGTCAAACTGTCTAAGTCTCCGTTACAGTCCAGCTCTGCTGTTCACTCTCTGCTTATATAATTCTAACTCCACACAGCTGTGTGTGTGTGTGTGTGTGTGTGTGTGTGTGTGTGTGTGTGTGTGTGTCAAAGTTCAGCCTTGTTTTTAAGGTTAGTGACTGTGGAGACGGTGCCAAACGTTCACTCTCTCCCCTCCGTCAGTCTGTGCTGACCGCTGGAGAAGTCCAACTTCAGCCGGAGCAGCTCTCCTCTTCGACGTCCATTTGTCCACTTTGTCTCCACCTCAGCGGGGATGGTGTCCTTCGACGACCTCCTGGAGGAGGCTGGAGCCTTTGGACATTTTCAGAAGCGTATCTTCTGCGTGCTCTGCCTGCTCTCGATGCCCTTCGCCGCGGTCTACGTGGGCATCGTCTTCCAGGGCTTCACTCCAAACCACTGGTGCCGGCTCTCGGGTGGAGCGGCAGCGGCGGAGGTGATGGAGGAGAAGATGCAGGAGTGCGGCTGGAGTCTGGAGGAGGCTCTGAGGAAGTCGGTGCCGTTGGTCAACGTCTCTGGAGACGTGCAGCCCAGCAGCTGTCTGCAGTACCAGGTGGACTGGAACAGCACCACTCTGGGCTGCGACCCAACAGATGTGGACCTCAGAGGAGCCCCGGTCTCCAGGTGCAAGGTGAGGGTTGTAACAGCTCCAGTAACAGCAGCAGTGTTCGTGGTGGGCAGAGGCTGTAGTACACACAGAGACCTGAGGGTGGCAGCACTTTGGTTGTTATGTTTTCACTGAAGAACTTCAGGTTTTATTATAAGAGAGGAAAGATTTTTTTAAAGTGTGTTGAAGGTTGAATTCTCAGCGACGTCTGGTTGTCCTTCACTGACGTCTCTGTTTCGTCCGTGTCCTGAAGGACGGATGGTCGTACGGGTACAAAGGCAGGAGCTCCTTCGTCACTGAGGTGAGAACACAACTTCGTGCCGTCCTCAAAAACCTTTGAAAAAAAACCCCCCTCGTATTGGTCCAGTACTGTGTAAAGACACGGAGAACCCTCCTGTTCCCTCTGGTCCAGTTTCACCTGGTCTGTGAGGACGCCTGGTTTGTGGACCTGTTCCAGTCCACCATAAACGTCGGATTCCTCGCCGGCAGCTTCGCCTTTGGTTACTTCGCTGACAGGTGAGTGACACACCTGTCTGAGGACTTTTTGACTGACGTTCATAAACACACGTCCTGTCTTCACAGGACAGCGTGCAGTACTGTGTGTACTGTGTGTACTGTGTGTACTGTGTGTACTGTGTGTACTGTGTGTACTGAATATTCATACAGACAGTGCTGGAGAAGAACAGAGACACATGAAGGTTTGTTTTTTTTTCCCCCAGGTTTGGCAGGAAGATCAGTTTCCTGGTGTCCAACATCCTGAACGCGGTCTCTGGTCTGGCCCTGGCTCTGGCTCCAAACTATGTCTCTGTCCTGGTGTTCAGGACCATTTTTGGCTTTGGGACAAAGGGAGGCTGGATGATCGCCTACGTCTTCAGTAATGACGGACAGAAAACATCCTGCACACCATTGGATTAGATTAGATTAGAGATCAAATTAGACTGGATCAGATTAGATGAGAGCCAGGATTGAACCATTTTGTTTTTCCGCAGTGACGGAGATTGTCGGAGTGAAGCACAGAAAGACCGTGGGAATCCTGTTCCAGATGTTCTTCAGCGTTGGCCTCCTCATCCTCCCACTGATCGCCTACTTCATCACTGACTGGCGCTGGCTGCAGGTGGCGCTGTCTGCTCCCTACGTCCTCTTCCTCGCCTACTACTGGTGAGAACCCTTTTCTTTGGACTGTGTGAAGATTAAAGTGTAACTTTCGAGCTGGATTATACAACAGATCAGAGCTAATCTCAAATTAGCATCAAAGCTAAAGAATAACCAAAGAGCTAGAAAGGCTAAAAACAACAAAACAGAGAATGAAAACAGAGTGGAACAGATGAAAGTGAGGAAGAAAAAAAACTGACTAAATCATTGATTGGAGACGTTCACAGATGACTTTTCTCCTCTGGTGACTTTTCTCCTCTGGTGACTTTTCTCCTCTGGTGACTTTTCTCCTCCGGTGACTTTTCTCCTCTGGTGTCTCCTGTTTGTTCTCCTGCTCTCAGCTGAACACACACTCACGTTGGAATAATAAACTAAGGAGGTCACGTCTTCTCTGAGCTGCAGATGTTTGTGTGTGTGTGTGTGTGTGTGTGTGTGTGTGTGTGTGTACTATACCTGCTGCACTCATGGGGACAATTTTAAAAAACATTGACATGAGGACATATTTGTTGTTGTTAAATGTTCTGGTCCAACGAGTCCTGATGCCACAAAGTCCCTGGATCCAGAATCTGTCTGATCTTGAATCTGGGCCACAATTTGTATTCAGTTTTCTTCTCTGATCCTAATGTTTATTTTTAGGGAATTCCAATTTAGAAACTGTGAACGTCAAACCTTCAGCAGTCTCACTGATTGATGCGTTTCTCAGGTTGGTCCCTGAATCTCCACGTTGGCTCATCTCCCAGAATCGTCTGTCCAAAGCTGCAGAGATCACCACGGCCATCGCCGACGAGAACAAGAGAAAAATCACCAAGAGCTTTGAGGTAAAGTACGACGAAACCTTCACGCTGACGGGACGAGCCTTCAGAAAAACAGAACAGAACAGAACAGAGGTCAGGAGGAAGTCAATCCTGTGATGATTCCGTCTTTAATTTGACCGGACAACAGTGGGACAACAACAGAACGATCTTCTGAAAATGATCTTCTGTCAATTCCATCAAAGACGTTGAAACACGAGGTTAAGAAATGACAACAAAAGCAGTTTTTTTTTCTGTTTGGTTTTAGGCTCTGACCTGTGATGAAGGTGACTCTTCTTCAGCGTCTCTGCTGGACCTGTTCAGGACTCCAAAGATGAGGAAGCACACCTTGATTCTCATGTTCAACTGGTAAGACCTGACTCTGCGTTCATCAACCACCACGGCTGAAGAACGCCGTCCAGAGAGGCTTCCTTTAAGATAAAATACATTTCCCAGAATGCCAAGAGAGAATCCTGAATCAGGAACATCTAACTTATCTGAGGAGGCACTCACTTAGACCTCAGGTTAATGGGAAATAAAATGGGTCCCAGGATAGAACCTTGGGGTGTTCCTTGATGTCATCAAACCCTCCTCCTCTTCATCTTCCTCCTCCTCCTCCTCCTGCAGGTTCACCAGCGCGGTGGTCTACCAGGGTCTCGTCATGCGTGTGGGAATCACTGGAGGAAACATCTACCTGGACTTCTTCATCTCCAGCCTGGTGGAGTTCCCTGCTGCCTTCCTCATCCTCTTCACCATCGAACGCGTCGGTCGCCGTCTTCCCTTCGCCACCGCCAACTTTGCAGCTGGAGCTTCCTGTTTCATCACTGCTTTTATCCCTGACTGTACGAAGAGCTTGTTGTTGATCTTCTGTCTGAGACTAAGACAACTGGCCAAAAGTCAAAGTCATATTTTCCCGTCAAAGAATAGAGGAGCTCAGTATATGTTATATTTAGCCGACCTCCTACGTACACAAGGGGCAGTCTTTTATTTTCTGATCAAGTTAAAAGTTTAAGCGACAACCATGCTGCACCACTAGCTCCACCTGCAGGGTAGGCAGCAGAACTACAGTCACTACGTAGATAATGTGTTTAGCTCCGTACATTTGATAGGAATTCATGTCAAAATCAAAGGGAAATCTTTTTATATTTCATATATTCAGACGTGTTTGTTCTTCAGCTCTGCTGTGGTTGAAGACGGCCGTGGCCTGCGTGGGGCGTCTGGGCATCACCATGGCCTTTGAGATGCTGGTGTTCGTCAACATTGAGCTGTACCCCACGACGGTCAGGTGAGGTCACGTCAGTGAAGTGGTGAGTTCACAGACCAGGAAAGAGAAAAACCTTTTTTAAAAAAAAGAAGTGTTTCCAGGAACCTGGGCGTCTCCGTCTGCTCCACGCTCTGTGACATCGGTGGAATCATCGCTCCCTTCCTGCTCTACAGACTGGCCGCCGTCTGGCTGGAGCTGCCGCTCATCATCTTTGGTGACTACGACCGTA